CATGGTAGCATCACCAACGTCGTATGCCTCCCGACGGACAACCGATCAAAGATCGAACTATGCGGCTCAGAAGGCGAGCGGCTATGCGGGGGAAAAAAGAATGACCATGGAGGTCCTCGGATGTCATTCTCCCAACCCTCTCACCATGATCGACAGCTCGAAACAAAGACGAAGAGAGGCTATGAGCTCAGTGGCAAAAGGATCACGCCTATTCCCGAGCGTATCGAATTCGTCCATTCGGAGAAAATCCTGCTTCGCTTTAAGCTTATACATTTCTCACATAAAAATAGAGATCGCTGACAAAGGCTTACGGCTAATGATCTATGGATGTTGCCGATCTTACGATCCCAAGGCAGCTTTGGGAATGTTTCTCGTCTGCAGTACCGTTGACGGCGGGCATACCAAACCTTGGAGCCCGCGAAAAGAGAAGTCTCTATCGGGCCAGCAATGCCGCTCAAAGGCACTGAAAGCCGTCGCGGATATTCCTGCCGCTGTGAATTTCAAAAACAGTCATCAAGTCTCACAGGAAGAACACACTCGGCCACATATTTGATTGCAGGAGTATTACTCTCAAACAAGCGTATATGCTGCAAGTTGCGAGGAGAACATGCCTTATGGTGGCCGCATCAGGCACAGTCAGCCACAAAATCACACCCCGTTGGAACTTCTAGCTCAGCCCCAGCTTCCGTCCAACGACATTCCTCCGCCGCCGTGGGATTGAGAAGACTACCGCACATCACTGATTGGCTCCGAGAATACCCAAGGCCTAGTTGCCGCCGACATGGCGCCAGCATAGCCAGCACCAGCCCTACCGTAGGGCTTATCGTGGGATTCCAGGGTGCAGCTCAAGCCTCGCATGTTCCATCGGGTGTAAGTGCTGGAACGGGCAAGCCGGCCGTAGCCGCTTCAGCCGCTCTCTCTCTCAAGGAACGTCTATTTCATGATGATTTAGCCAGCTGAACTCACAGATAGGCTAAATGACCACGGTCTGCCGCTCCCGCTGTCCGCTCCGCCCTCCTCGTGAAGAGCAGCGGGCGTAAGGGTGGTATGGAAGAGCAGAGGACAGAGAAGGTTCTACGATCGCAGTTACTCTACTTTTATCCGTGGCATCGGCCCTAACGTCGCGGTGTTAGGTTGCCCTTAGCTTTCCCGAGAGCTACAAGCACTTCCTTCCTCAATAATTGCTCGGGGCTTGCTTTCATTGGATGAAATCGAGAAATTTTTCCAATATATAACTGCGTTGCGGCTGAGGGGGCGCACAGCTGAGAATTCTAGCTGACAAGAGGGGGAATGTGGGCAAGGGAAACACATAACGGCTGACGGCTTGGCGCAGCTTACCATTCCTGGGCCATCCCGTCTAACCCGCTCCCGGATGCTGCTCCGGGATTGTGGGGGTGGGAACGCGAACCCGCGTCCGACCTTCCGGACGGAGTGGGTGAAGTACAACTCCGCTCCTGGACGCACTTCCGAAGTTTGACGACATTTCGGCGTCGGGAGCGTTCTCCACATTCCTTTTCTAGTAAGGAGGTCTGCTGTTCTACGGGAGGACCGGGAGACTTTGCTGGGCTGCGTGGTTTTCGTGTTTTTCGTTCCACCGTGAAGATTGGCCTTGCATGGACTCTGTACTGTGTGCCGGCGTACGGGTTGACAGTCTCGTCAAGACGGATTCACTAGGTTTGAGCAGCAATGCCAAGACGAGGATTTGATGGACAACAAGTGTTGTTGTCTGCTCTTCGTGCTGTTTTCTTCTCTCCTAGTATTCTCCCTCGCCAAGCATCAAGTCAATCTGGTGTTAGGTTCCTCTGATCGAAAGGGTCGGTATGGCACAATCAGCTACCTCCTTCCGGGAAACTTCAAAGATCAATGTACTCTAGTCTTAGACTATTCATATCGGTATTGCATGACTAGTCATGCAGACCGTAGACGGGCTCCTGATTCCTCATCTCGGCATCCCACAATGCCGAGGCGAGTACTTGGCGCGTCATAACCTTCTTTGCGGCCTACTGAGCCGGGATGTACCTCCGTGAGTTGTTCTCTTCCCAAAAAGCGAAGGAGACGATTTGACCGGGAAGTCATCCGAACCCGAAATCCGCTTGAGGGTGTCGACTGCTATATCTCCTGTCAAAGGATCCAGGTATATATTTTTTTTTTCTCAAGTCGGAACCTATCAAAGCTTACAGAGGCTTCGATTTCTGCCTGATTAAGAAGAGAGCAGTATCTGGCTGAGGGACTTGTATATCTTTGGCCCATAGTACCAAGGAAGGGTTCATTCGTAAAACATACCTCAAGCTGAGTTGGTTGTATCGCAAAGACCAGTCAGAATATGTTGGCAGCTTGTTCTAGCCAATGTTTCACTCAGTAGAACCGAGTTGAAATCAACCTTATGAGGCATATCAGGGACTTGGCCGGCTACTGTCACCTTGATCTGTCGTACATGGTTGGTTTTGTAAGGAGCTTTAGTTACTAAGGGAAGTAGACATGGAGGATTTTTGTAAATATATGTTTAAGCAAGAAACTTGCGATTTAGGATGGCTCAATTACGAAGTTCGAGTGGTAGAGAGCATTCGGTTCGTCTCAGCTATGGCTGTGAACATTCGTTTCTGGACCTCCAGAATGACGTTTACGCCACTCGCCTCCCGAGTTGGACTGGTTGTAGGCAACGGCGATAGGTTCAGCGCCTTTATGGAGACGAGCCGTACTCCTCAGGTGTGGATAGGGCAACTTGAGTTGTATCATCTCTTAAATCTTTGCGCCTTGAGTTCAGGGACTACGAGCTCGGTTTCCCGTCAGCCTTCTGCCGAGGGGCTGAACCTCGCGGGCCCGATCACTCTTCATGCGCCTTTGCCAGTTTTTTCTTACTTCACGAGACTTTGGCTCCGATGTACTTCGTCATTGAAGCTTTCGAAGACAAGTCCGGAAGGTGATTGTCCGGGTCCCCTGAGGACGTGTGAGGAAAAACAGGGTTGACGCCCTCACATCCACAGGCCATATTATATTACTACACACACCTCAAGTACTCTCCAGGTACTGATGACAGATACATGTCGGGGATCAATCTCATCGTTTGGGTGGCGAAGAACTTTGACTATTCACAGCTTCGACAAAAAATGGAGAGAGAAGTGAGGTCAACGACAGAACGATCAGACCCCCCCCCCCCCAAAAAAAAGGGGGGGGGGGGGCCAAATGCTGAGGCAGACTCGCCGCAACATATACAGAAGCAGGGAAAGGTGCAGATTGTCTACGATAGAGTCCATGTGTCAAGCTGCTCAAAAAAGACAGAGGCAATCCGCCGGACCTATCCTGATTTGTATTAACTCGCGATGCCATACAGTTCCCTGCTTGCCTGGCCGCCGCACTTAACCGCAGACGGATGAGAGCGACGCATGACGCCGCTTCGAAGCTGTTCTTTTGAAAAATGAAGGAAACTGATGTCAACTTGGAGTTCAAGTTGTGAGATACATCTCCGGCTTTGCCTGAACCCATCTTGGCCACAGCAGCAAATAGCATGACTTCGGAAATGCTAGGGGAGATACCCTGGGATGAGATTTGGGGCGCTTGTATTCATATTCAAGATTTGAAGGGCCTAGGTGAGTTTTGTGAAGGACGAAGAGCAAGAACATGAACGAACTTGCCAGTCTACTAGAATGGTAAGGGCTGTATGCGCCACGGGGAACGACGTAATTGTCACTGCGTATTTCCTAAGCAAGAGGAGATATCATTTAAACCTGGGAAGCCCTCTGCTGTCACTTTGAACTGGATTTCAAACTGCATGGCCCTACCTAGCCAAGAGACAAAAGGAAGCCCTCGCGAGGCAAAAGAGAAAAGTGGTTTGGTATGCATCCGCCGATAATCGAAATCGGGTCCCTTGCTATTCAGTCGGAAGCGAATGGAAGGCAAGGATGATAACCACTACACTACAGATGCTTGTTGTGTCTCAAAGCGGGAATAGCCAAATATGTATCCACGATGTGCGGATTCGCTTGGGCTAGCAAGGGCAAACGTGTAAGACGGCCCACATGCGGGATTTAGTCGGCCATCGGACTTGAGAGCCGGATGTCCACACCTTGCTATTGAGATATGTGCGATGAAGACGTTGGCGATTGAGATTAAAAAAAAACACAAATGACAATGGCTTTCCATGGTGACAGGATCTAGTAGATTCTTTGCACACGTCGCTACCTCTGCCTTTATCGTCTGTTGGTGGTGGAGTTAATGCGGGCCAGTGTGCATGATTTGTGTCTAAAAGAGGAGTTCCTTGCCTTTGATTTCTTCTCGTGAGTACTTCGAGGACGCCAGTGCTTGATCATGTCTATTTCTATTTCTATTTCCCAGGGTTTGATGAATGTTTCCCTCATGACTGGTGACACTCCGCTTTTGGAATTCAATTCGAACGACACGCCGAACTTCACGGATGTATGTCGAGTGTTCCCAGTCCAGGAACACCGATCAACCCTTCTATCTCTGACTGACAACCATCAGACAAAGGGCGTGGCTTATGATAGTCGCTTCCATGAAGTTCACGATAATGAACGTCGCCAATTATCCTCCTCTGATTTCTGATGGAGAGCCGAGCCAAATTTCATAAGGTAGTCGTACTGGTAGACGACGTCAAGACAGTAAGAAGAAAGGGGGGCCCAACGAGGACAGGAGAACTTGTTGTAGATGGCCTCGCGGTTGGTGACGATATTGAGGAAGACGAGGTGCTAGTGATGCCCGATTGCGTCTGAGATCCAGTTGAGCCAGAAGGGGAGCCTGTTGCTGTTGCACTCGGGGTGCTGATGGAACTGGTGGCTTGGCTACTCGTGGAAACACTGGTCGTTGCGAACTGACTTGTCGAAGATGAGGTTGTACTCAGAGATGATGAGAGGGTTGAGGAGGCAGAATTTGAAGTTGATAGGCTTCCTGGTGCGCTGTTGGAAATAGAGCCAGTTGTTGTAAAACTGTTAGAAGAGCCACTGGTGCTAGATGTTCCTGAGATAATGTTTGAGGTCACAGGCGTCATGGCTGAGGTACTCGTTCACAAACTTGATGTAACAGTGCTGGGAGATGAAGTGCTACTAAGCGAACTTGTAGGCGAGGTGCTCAAAGAAGTAGTACTGGAGGAAGAGGTTGAAATAGTTCCAGTTGATGAGGATGAGGGGGTGGATGTTGTGGAAGATGAAGTCAACGATGGGGCTGATGTTGACGTGGAGGAAGCAGATGATAGAGATGTCGAAGATGTTGTCGAGGATGAAGTAGGGGAGGCAGAAGTTACAGAATTGGCATCAGTCGAGGACGAGGAGGACGAGGGTGAGGTTAGTGTCGAAGGAGAAGAGTCGGATGTTGTTGATAAGGATGAAGACGAGGTAGATGTGGCACTAGACGTGGAAATGTCGGATGAACTTGATGTGATAGGGATAGATGAGGACGAGGGGGATGATGTGAGTGAAGAGGTTGCGGTGGTGGATGCCGATGAAGTAGACGAAGACGAGGTGGACGAGGTAGGGTCTGTTGAGGATGAAGTGGACGAAGAGGATGAAGTCGATGAGGTGGATGAGGTAGTGATGTTGGAGAACGCAGTCGACGAAGTGGACGATGAAGACGAGGTAGAAGTCGTAGAAGTCGTCGTTCCAGCAAACAAGCCGACAGGCACCGCTCTCGTGCCATATACAGAGTATAAGAGCTGGTTACCCGTGTTTCCCCCACAGTTTGCAGGAGGAGAACCTGTGGGCGGAGCCTCGCCGCAGATGTAGTTGCAATTGCTGTCAACAACGCCAACCGAGTCAACAAATCTGACATCGGCCGCAGGTAAAGAGCAGAAGCAATATGTATCGCGAAGGAGAGCGAAGTCCCTGCTATTGGCTATGCATAGATCTTGGCAAACCTGCGGTCCATTGTCGGTCGCGTTTCGTGCTACTATTATCACGGCGGTGTTGTACAGCATACCGCATCCCCGATACGCCATGGGCGGAACATTGTATGCAGTCCCTTGACCGAGCACAACGTTGAAGGCATAGCTTATGGCAAAGAAGACTGTAAGCCAAAAAGAAGGCATCATGTATCGACCGAATCGTCTAGAGAACTCAAAAAGACGAGGGATGTCCTCACAGGACTGCAAACGATGGAAACTTGGGGTCTACATGTCAAAGCAAAAGGGATAGAAGAGACCATGAAAGTTGGCTGTAATAGATATGTGTGTTGTTTTTAGTTATCCGAGGGAATCGTTAGTTCCGCCCTGATGGTATCACAGGGCTTATTCACCAGGTAACGATTTTGATTAGTTCTCAGCCTGGTATAAGGGAGAAGGGGCAGGTATGTACTGTATAGCTCGCAAGTTCAGATCTGAGATGACAAAGAGGCGGCGTGGATGTCTCGGTCTCTCAGCCCAAATATCATGGATCCAGATCAGATACATTCTAATTGATCTGTGGTTGGTCCCAGGGCGACTCATCAATCTCCCAGGATTTCAAGCCCGTTGTTGAGATTTCAATGGTAAGACAACCTCCAGCTAAGCTTCAGCTTCTGGATTTCGTAGCTGCAATGATGCCGACATTGAGACCTTGGAAAACTGTGCCGCCTTTGATTCATGGCAAATTTGAGCCCCTCGCTTCATATAGTTATTCTATTGCCTGAATGACCGGCCGTTACCAGGTCGACGTGGTAACTGATAACCGACTGTAGCGCTGAGATGGAATACTTGGGCTGAGTACAAAAAACCTGCGTGAGATAGAATGACAAAACGGGCCGCATACCATGGCACCAAGATAATGAGACATGTAGACCACATGCTTACTTCCAACTGGCCAGCACCCGGGACAAAAACAGCATCTGGGGCTGTAGATTAACATGGATAATTCCGGCAGGCCTACATATATAACATGCGGCCCGAGGAGGGTCTTTGACTTTCGATTACCTAAGTCAGCAGGATGCGAGTATCCCTCGCAACAACGGGATACTAGCAGCAACCCCCACTCCACCAGAACATCATCTTTGACGCAAGCTCGGACGGTTGGTCTGTACTTCGGTGCATCATGAAATTTCAAGCCGCAGCACTCTGCCCATTCGAGTTCTTCCTCAGCCCACAGCCCGCTTATCTGCTTCCATAGAAGGAGTACCACGGTAAGCATGAGACGATACAGCCACAGACAAGTCATAGCATGGAAGCCTTATATCTTTGTATTCTGAGCGTTCCCCCTACCCAAGCACAGAAGACGTCGATGCGGCGTGATGTCACTGCCGAGCCCGCAGACAATGTCCTCAGAGCGTAAGCTGGCCCTCTGTTGGTCTACAGAAGGCCTCGGTCACGAACTGCTCGACTCTTTCTCGGCAGGCAGATTCAAGAAATTTAACTCAGCCGAGCGCTTGATTTGAAATCCTTCTTACGGCCAGACGTTTCTACAAAGCCAACTTCGCTATCATGAACGACACATCACACCTCCTCGGCACGTCTGTTTTCTTATGTCAACTGGGCATTTGTCCATGCTATATCCTCATACCCAGTATGAGGACAGGAAACATGCGAAGGCACCATGTGCTCAGATTGAGACGGTCGACAGACTGAGAGGATTACAAGCGATTTCCGACTTGCTAGCTTCGAGCAGATATGGCCCTTGATCTCCCTTGTCTCCCGCGCAGCCTCGGGCCGTGGCAGCGCAATTGCGCCCACGTTTCTCCTTCTCCCATGGCCACTGGATTCTATGCACAAGCTAAAAGCCGGCCCAGCAGCTTCCTTTGAATATCAGCTTCCACTTAACATGAAGCCACGTGGAAAAAGCAAGTTGGCAGGCCGTCTCAGATTGGGGTTCTGTAGTTGAATCAAGCCGACCTATCCTTTCCTTACACAAAAAGTGATTGCGAAGGAGAGGTTGAATTGGCTTTCCACGAAAATCCAGCTGACCGAAACAATTCCCCGTAATCCATCAGTATGATCTACGCAATTCTCAAGATGGCATTCCGGCTGCTCGATGAGTATTGGATGCAACCTTTCGCTTGCTTTCCCGAATTCGAGACCACCGGTCATCCCCAACAACAGCTGTATCTTCCGCATTGAGTTCTTCCCGCATGAGTCTCCCAAAAGCTGTCACCAGGTTGCATTCTTTTGCAGGTTAAACCGATCACCTCGGCTAGTGCGCCCCTCTGCGGAAGCTAAAGTCCAGACTTTCTCCAACGATGCCCTTCTCCATAGGGAGATGCCCGAGGACGGACCTTTCATCTCATCTTCTACCCTTCCAGGGAAGCCAGGTTTCGAAGCTTCTCACACACCCCTCGTCTCGAAAAGCATCTTCCATTTTGTTTTCCATCCTCCGGGTGTCCGGTAAGATTTCTTAGTCTACTTTCTCAACAAGGAAAGATGCGATCAAAGCTTAAGAGTCTATCTCGATGTCTGGTACCTGCCAAGACCACACCAAGCTGCTACTGCGTAGGACGGCGTCAAACGGTGTTTCTATCCTATCTGCGCCTCACCGACACACTGACACTGCGGCCTTGGCCTTGGGTTCTGCTGGTTGTGACAGCAGCTGTGCTTTTCGCAAAAGCAATGCTAGCATGTAGCTGTAAGTTGCCATGTGCAGCCGCAGCCCGCAGCCTGCATTTTGACTGATTTGTTTGACAGTGCGAACGTTGTGTTCCATGGTTTCCATCCGCATACTTCGTCATAAAACACATATTGCCATCTTTAGCCACTTTTCTTTTAGTAGTGACGCCAGAAAAGACACCTTATCCGGCTGAAGAACGAATGCGAAATATCTCTAGCTGACGCGGGCCTTTCAGAGGCCCGTTCTCTCCTCGCAAAATAGTCATGGACAAGTTCACGTCCCGATCGACGCCTCCGGACCACACCACCGGAATTTGAGTGGGTTCCTCTCGTTTGGTTGCCCAATATGGCAGTCCGGCAGAGGGGGAACCATGAGAGAGTGTCCGTACCCTCAATGCAACTGGCTGGCGGCCTAGGAACACCCTTTGGTACACTTGCTCTTGACAGCGGACAACCTCCCCGTCGACCTTACCAGACGGCTGGCCTCACTGCAAAGACCGAGTTGACTTGCGACTGGCAGCCATGCGTCCCCGGACTGCCACGCCCTCGGCAGGGTCCATATGTTGGCCCATCCTGTCTTCACCAAAGTCTTGGATTACCGTTGTCCCTGCAGAGCACCGGCAGGCCGTAACGACCCAGCCACCTGCGCGATGACAGACGGTTTCAGGATCAGCCTTGGGAGAGCCGCTTGAGGCAATCGCAGCTGAGTGTGGTGCTCTGATGGGTTGGAAGTACCTGACCAGAGATATAATGTCCTGGGCGGTCTTCCCATTCTCTGATTTTGGGTTACCGAAGAACATCCTCATCTCGCAAACACTTCTCTAATACCCATATCTGCATCAGCTCACCGCAACAATGGCTCCCACTATGGCAGCGTCCGCTTACACGGCCACTCCCAGGTCACCCTTCCCTCTTCAGCTCTCTCCCAGAGCCCTGAGGTCACCGAGGTCACCCATGACCTTCAGTCAGTCCGAAGTCCTGTCCCCTCGGGCCATGGCCAAACAGGAAAAGGACCTATGCCTCCCGGCACAAGGCTCCATCTATATTCACAAGCCCGACCAAGACTTTTGGAATGTTCGTTGCGCCGAGACTCTGGATGCTTTCATGCAGGCCGCCGGCTCATACACGCCGGCTCAGCGTGCCGCCCACCTCCAGCTTCTCTCGGAGATCATCGTCCCGTGCATGGGTCCTCACCCGGCCACGGCCCCGACTAAACCCCTGCTCACTGCCGACGGCTCTCCGTTCGAGCCATCGTGGAACATCACCGACTCGGGCTCCTCTTCGATTCGGTTCTCGTTCGAGCCCATGGGTCGCCATGGCGGCTCAGCATCAGATCCATTTGCACAGAAGATCATTCCTGCAGTCCTTCCTGCTTTGCGTATGGTATCTCATGGCGTGGACACACGGTGGTTTGAGCAGTTCATGTCCGCTCTATTCCTGACGGAGGCGGAGTCAGAGATGGCTCTCTCCAGACTCCCAAAGGGAACTCGTGCGCCAACATCGTTCCTTGCCTTTGACCTGGATGGTGCAAAGGCTGTTTTCAAGGCATACTTCTTCCCAGTCCTCAAGCATATTGCAACGGGTGCCTCGACGGAAGACATTACATTCGACGCGATCCGCACTTTGTCACCGCGGGGATCCGACCTTTCCCAGTCTGCCAACGCCACCGAGGAGTACTTCAAGAATTGCCCATTTGCCATTCCGGTAGAGATGATCGCCCTGGATTGCATCGACCCCGCCGAAGGAGCCCGCGTTAAGGTGTATGCTCGCACCCGGTCAAACGCCTTCAACGTCGTCCGCAATGTGGTGACTCTCGGCGGGCAGATCAAGGACGAGGCGACACTGAAGGGCCTCGAGATTCTGAAAGGCATTTGGCATCTACTTCACAACGAGGCAGAGCCTCACGACGATGATTGGAACAAGGAGCCAAAGATGGTGAACACTCTCCACAAGGGCATCTGCTACGGCTTTGAGCTCAAGCCTGGCGCGAAGTGGCCCGAGGTGAAGGCATACGTGCCGCTTTGGCAGTACGCCGACAGCGACGCCGTCATCTCAGCAAACCTGGCTCAGGCCTTCCGTTCCAGGGGCTGGGCCGTCGCTGAGAAGTACCAAGACGACATGGCTCGTTGCTTGTGAGTGAACTTTGTGCCTTTCTCTGTTTCAATGAATACTGACTCTTTTGATTAGCCCTCGTTCGGACCTGAACAAGACCACAGGCAC